AAGAAATCCATTATTTTTCCATTCAATTTCATGCAAAAATAATTTCTTTTTACTACACCTAATATATATATATATATATTCATGCTAAATATCTACAATCAACATAATTTATAAAATTGATATTTTATTGTACATATACATGTATATGTATCGCGTCATAAATATCATGTATAAACATTTTGTAGTACACATGGGACAATTCCTTGAATCTATTGGTGACAAAATACCGTCATTCGTCGGTATAAAATTCACCAGCAACAATTTAGAGGAAGGTGCACATGCATTACATGCCGATAATGGGAAATTTGTTATTTTCCTCGGTAATGATCAGGTAATGAAAAAAAAGTTATTTTAATTAAATGACAATGAACTAATTAAATGAACTAGCGCTTTTTGAACAGAAAATAAGTTAGAAAGCTTATAGTAACTAGCTTATCATAACTAGCCAGTTACAGTGAGTGCAAAAAATATTCGTACAAGAAAAAATTTTTATAAACAAAGTTCATTTGTAGAAAATAAACATTAATTAGCAATTTTATACAGTGAATACGTTTTGTTCTAATATAAATGAGCTTCGAATGTGATTTTAAATTTTCTGATTTTAGAAACTAAATTTCTCGATTGTATTTTTTGTCTAAATAATATCATTTTTAATTTTGCTTATTTTTAAGATAATATTTTATTAATTATTTTATTTAATTATTTTATTTAATTATTTTATTTAATTATACATCTTTTCAACACAAAAATTTTGAGATATAATACAATCTATTTTGTTTCTTTATGTATAAATTGCTAATTACCCAGTAAAAACTATTAATCAGACATTGAATTAGTGTCAAAATCATCAATATCTATTCAATATCAAATTCATGAATTATTTCTTGCTGGATAATGTTTACTCTTTAAAAACAAAATTTTAAAAAATTTTCCTTGCATGTACAAATACTTTTTACACTCACTGTAAATGCTAAATCCGATGTCATACAGTTATTGACTATATTGTTTTATTTTCTATCCAGTTTGCGCGTTCTCCAGTATAATAAAAATATATTTGATTTGTTCTGATTCTGTTAGTTAATGGACGCTGCATCTGTAGTAGGATTTGATTCCTTCATAGTAACTACCTTAAACATATTTCCGGAACATATACAGCAACTTCTTACTGTTTACAAGAATGGAGATATATTAAAAGCCAGAGATATGCAAGAGAAGCTCACAAGCGCTGTAATTGCTATAATGAAACATGGTAAGTGTATTTTTTTATCTAATGAAGTGCAGATCGATTGTTACAAAAAATCAATTATTTGTAGGTAATTGGGTGCAGTCTATGAAAACAGCAATGACTCTTCTTACTGACTTTAATATAGGTCTACCTCGTGAACCACTTAAACCTATTTCTTCTGATGCTGTAGCAATTATGACGAAAGAATTAACAAACTTGGGATATCAGCCAAAAGTTAAACATTATTGAGAGAATATCTTAATTCTTTTTTCAATTTATCATGTTTGTGTGCTTTATGACATCATTTTATAATATAGTGTCATAAGGCATCATATTTCAAATTTTTTAATGAATTGTTACTAATCATAAGTATAATGTTATAAAATGTTATAAAATGTTATAATATTGTGTCTCTCAAAAAATAAATTCAGCAATTAAATTAATAAATTCAGCAATTAAAAAGACTAACTTATATGTTCAATAATGTTCAAAATGAATAAAAGTTGTGATTGTTATATATATTGCGTTATATTTTATATATTAATTGTGTGTAAAATATAAATAATTATATAATTTATGCAATATAAATTTTTGCAAGTACGTATGTTCCAAGCTAAAAGTTTTAAAACATTTTTTTTAAATTAACATTTTTAGGAATATTTATTTAAATATTTATTAATGTGTTTTTTAACAATAATTCTTCAGATCTAATAAAATAATTATTATTGTATTTAAAGTATTATTGTTAAAAAAAAGTAATTTTTATAAATATTTAAATAAATAATCCTAAAATTGTTTAAAAAGTCAATCAATATTTAAAAGTGTTTCCAAACTTTTTACTTGAAGTATAGTGTTTCAATTTATTTTTTCATATATTCTTATAGTAACATTAGATTTATAATAATTATTGAAACAAGTGAACAATGATAAATCTTACTCAGCACATATACAAAACCAAAATTTATTTTTGTATTTATTAAATAAAGTTATAATTTTCGTAGAAATTATTTATGTTTAATTTATTCTTTTTCGTATAATTTTATTCATTCTTCAGAGAAAAATATAATGAAACAAAACATAGAAAAAAGTTTAACATTTTATAATGAAAGTTAGAGATTGAAACGAGATTTTAACTCGAGAATCATCGAAATAATCAAAACAGAATTAAAACACACAAAATATTTACATATCTACAAACACATACATATGTGTGAAACGGGATGATAATTAAATGAAATTTAAAATTAATTTAAAATTTTACTCAATTTTTAGTTTCTCCTTTTCAATTATCAAATAGATATGTACATATAATGCCGTACAATTTCCGCTTATTTTTCAGATGATATATTTTGTATAATTAATACACATCTTTTTGATGTATATCATTTTAAGAAACATACAGTCTATTTTATTTTTTATGAATAAATTGTTAATTATCCAATAAGAAGTCATCAATTCAACATCGAATCGACATCAAATTAATATTGAAATCATCGTATTTATATCGATTCGACATCAATGGATCATTCGATGGATTATTTTCCGCTAGATAATATTTACTTTTTAAAAATAAAGTTTTTTAAAAAAATATTTTCTCTGTACGAATACTTTTTGCATTCACTGTACCTCAATAACTTCAAGATATCTTTATAATATGATGTATTTTTGACACATCTGCTATGTCGAATACATTAGTGCCTAACCACGTCGATCCTATCGTGTTCTGGTAAATCAGTGGAATAATCTAATCCCAATCATACTAAATAAATAATCAACAATTTAAAAAATAAAGGAACTCGCAGTTTGTGAGCAAATGCTCTCCCAAAAGGTAATTACTATCCCGAATATTTAGAGCTCACCTTTATACCTTTGAAACTTTTATTGGTGTTACACACCAACTTGCCTTGCATAGATCCTCTTCTTTCTTTCTTATGACCAAAAAGGACTCCCTTTTGCTGTTTCTGGCCAATATTCTAGCTATACAATATGCCAGAAATCAACGATAAGAAGAAATATTTCTTTTCACTGTCATGTTAATTATCGCCAATAATAAGAATAAAATTTATGTTTCTGTACGATATGCGAATGCATCACGAAAAGGTCATCACATTCATGTAATCAGTTAAATATAAAAATGAATTGTCAAAAATAATGTAATAATTCAATTGATTACGAATAAATTTTGCATTTCTTTTTACTTGCGTTTATTCGCAATTACGATAGAAATATGTATCTAATTATTAAAATATCTATTCAGTTAAAAATAAATCTAAACTTAAAAAAATCTTTATATTAATAGTGTTTTGATTCAAAGAGACTCTATCACGAGTATTATAAAACTTAATTTCAACATAAACTTCACATAACATGAAAACAAAATCTTAATTTAAAAATAAATAAATAAAAATTATTCACT